GTGGGCGTTAACTATAAATATATTCATTACCATTCATATGAATTTTTAAAATATATATATAGCAATTTTATTTTTGCCAGACAGATCGTTTAAAAGACTTCAAAAAAAAAAAAAAAATCATAATTTGCTATTTGTGTTGTCTAAAGAAAATATGTTTGATTATAGTTTTAATAAATTAATTTTAATATTTTGGATAGCAATATTGTGTTGAAGTATGCAAAGCATATGCAAGAGCTCATGAATATGATCCATAAGATGATTATTGAGAGCTTGGGCTTAGAGGATCACTATGATTCACATATGAATTCCCTAGCATATTCAATAAGGTTCTCAAACTATTATAAGGACACATTAGATGATGGAATCAATCTTGCTTTGCCTTCTCACAAAGATCCAAACTATATAAGCATAATTTGCCCACACAACGTTGAAGGACTTGAAGTAGAGGCTGAAAATGGTGAATGGTTACAATCAAAACCTATGAAAAATTCATTTACGGTTTTAGTTGGCGAAGCATTCAAGGTTAGTATCTTTATTGGATGATAAATATTTTTTTAATAGGTTGCAAAGTATAATTTAATTTTGAATAAGTTTTATAATCATTTTTTTATTCAGGCTTGGAGTAATGGAAGACTTTATGCTCCTACTCATCGAGTGAAACTGAAGAGTGAGACTGAAAAACGATATGCAGTGGTTTTCAGCACGATACCAAATATCACAAATGATATAATAAGTGCTCCGAAAGAATTGATTGATGAACAACACCTCTTACTTTTCAAGCCTTTCAAATATTATGACTACGTGAAGTTTCGCTTTTCAGATGAAGGAGAGAGAGTTGATGACGCCCTAAAAGCTTATTGTGGTGTTTAGCTAAATATCGAGGCTATTAGATGTACCGTGTGCGCTACTTGTTATGTTTTTACATGTTTTTCTTTCTTTTTATCATAAACCTTGTAAGTTTGAAGCGGTGTGCCTTTTCTTTTAATAAAAGTGGTTAAATTCCACTCAAAAGATGATTGGAGCATAATAACACGAAAAACAAACAATATAATCTTGAATATTTGTAACAAGTAAATGTTAATATTACATTTTGAAACCCCTATCACAGTATGAAATTTCAAGTATAATTTAATTAAGATTTAAAACGAACTTATGAAAGGCATCTAAGTCATATAATTAGTTAAATAAATCCCTTTTGAGATTTGGAAGAATCTCTTAAATGCTAGGGTAAGTGGAGTTTAATGAATTTAAGGGATTTGCATTTTCCGAATATTTATGTTGTAGATCTAATATTTATCTAATTCTTATAAAAAAAACTCAAATAATATTGATAATTTAATACTCTCAAGATTTAATAAATCCGATTTTACGGAATTTTAAAAAATGAACCTGATTAATTTTCTACTTGTAACAAAATATCCCCTATGTTTTACCAATAGCAGAAATTGAATACACATATTAATTAATTGCAATCCTAGTAGTTTAGCTGAAGAGTACAATTAACATATAGTCATCATTAGGAAAAAAATATTATGTGCGAAGTTTAGACTCCAATAAAAATCCGTCTGATACTGAGCTTAGTACTGAGCGGTAGCGCGGCTCGGTACCGCTCGGTACCTAAGCGTAAACCGGACGGTTCTCCCATATGGTGTCCGCACATAATAATCTCTCCTTCATTAGGGGTGCAAGTGAACCGAACCGTCCGGTGTCCGCACAAAATAATCTCTCCTTCATTAGGGGTGCAGGTGAACCGAGTCGGCTCGAGCTAAACTCATTAACGAGCCGGCTCGAGCTCGACTCGTTAATGAGCTCATGAGTTGAGCTTATGGAGCTACGAGTTCAAGCTCGAGCCTATACTTGAACTCGTACATTAAGCGAGCTCGAGCTCATACTTAGCTTATAAGCTCATTGAGCTGCTCAATATGAGCTTAAGTTAGACAAAATTGTAAGCATCACATGTAAATATAAATTTAATTAATATTATGAGCAAGATTAAAAAAATTAATTAGAGGCAAAATGCAACTCTGATATGAATCCATAACAACCCAAGGTTCATCATAGTATCTTTTCCTTAAGTGGATCACATAATCCAAATGTGATCAATCATTTTATTTGCAAAGTATAATTTAATTTTGAATAAGTTTTATTATCATTTTTTTATTCAGGCTTGGAGTAATGGAAGACTTTACGCTCCTACTCATCGAGTGAAACTGAAGAGTGAGACTGAAAAACGATATGCAGTGGTTTTCAGCACGATACCAAATATCACAAATGATATAATAAGTGCTCCGAAAGAATTGATTGATGAACAACACCCCTTACTTTTCAAGCCTTTCAAATATTATGACTACGTGAAGTTTCGCTTTTCAGATGAAGGAGAGAGAGTTGATGATGCCCTAAAAGCTTATTGTGGTGTTTAGCGAAGTATCGAGGCTATTAGATGTATCGTGTGCTACTTGTTATGTTTTTACATGTTTTTCTTTCTTTTTATCATAAACCTTGTAAGTTTGAAGCGGTGTGCCTTTTCTTTTAATAAAAGTGATTAAATTCCACTCAAAAGATGATTGGAGCATAATAACACTAAAAGCAAACAATATAATCTTTGAATATTTGTAAAAAGTAAATGTTAATATTACATTTTGAAACCCCTATCAAACTATGAAATTTCAAGTATAATTTATTTAAGATTTAAAATGAACTTATGAAAGACATCTAAGTCATATAATTAGTTAAATTCCTTTTGAGATTTGGAAGAATCTCTTAAATGTTAGGGTGAGTGGAGTTTAATGAATTTAAGGGATTTGCATTTTCCGAATATTTATGTTCTAGATCTAATATTTATCTAATTCTTATCAAAAAGCTCAAATAATATTGATAATTTAATACTCTCAAGATTTAATAAATCCGATTTTACGGAATTTTAAAAAATGAACCTGATAAATTTTCTACTTGTAACCAAATATCCCCTAATTTTTACCAATAGCAGGAATTGAATACACATATTAATTAATTGCAATCCTAGTAGTTTAGCTGAAGAGTACAATTAACATATAGTCTTTATTAGGAAAAATAATTCTGTGCAGAGTTCAGACCCCAACACGTTTGATACTGAGCTTAGTACCAAGCGGTACTGCGGCTCGGTACCGCTCGGTACCTAAGCGTAAACCGGACGGTTCTCCAATCCGGTGTCCGCACATACTAATCTCTCCTTCATTAGGGGTGCAGTGAACCGAATTGTCCAGTGTCCGCACAAAATAATCTCTCCTTCATTAGGAGTGCAGGTGAACCGAACTGGCTCGAGCTAAACTCATTAACGAGCCGGCTCGAGCTCGACTTGTTAACAAGCTCACGAGTTCAGCTTATGGAGCTACGAGTTCAAGCTCAAGCCTATACTCGAACTCGTATATTAAGCGAGCTTGAGCTCATGCTTAGCTCATAAGCTCATTGAGCTGCTTGATATTGGCTCAAGTTAGACAAAATTGTAAGTATCACGTTTAAATATAGATTTAATTAATATTATGAGCAAGGTTAAAAGATTTAATTCTATATATATAGATTTAATTAATAGATGTAACTCTTAACCACTCTAGGAAGATTGGATTCCGATAATCTATGAAGATTAGCTGTTGGGGCTTCAAAGGGATTAATAACTATTCTATAGATATGACATTCATGTATAGAACCATCGACCTCCCTTCGATCTACACTGGATTACTTTTTTTAGCCACTTATTTAGAGTCACAATTTTAGGGCGTGCATTTCAACACGTATATCGGACGATAATAATGCCAATAATTGAAGCTATATGTTAGTATATTGGGACTAGATCTTATCACACAAATAATTCATTATTTTTCTTATTCTACCCATCACAATTTTTGTTCTCTAGACTTTATTCATTTTTTTGTTCATATCTCTACCATTTTCTCTCCCCATAATACTTACCATAGATCCCCTTCCCAACCTTTTGTCTATATCTTCCACAATTTTAGTATCCTCTTTGCAATATATTATATTAATTAAAACTTACCACCTTATCTATCTATTCAAACTTAAATGATATCCTAATCAATTAAATCAAAGATATCTAAAGCAGCCATTATATGATCGTGCCATATAAGTTCACTTGCGAGCAAATTTAGGTTTCGTTTGGGATAGCTTTGTTATGCTTTCTAAAACAATTTTTTAATATAAAACATTATAATTCAAGAAATTTTTGTACTAAAAAGAGAGTGGGGGTCTATTTATAGATTTTCATGAGTGGCACATCCCGTAAATCTAGAAAAGATCCGGGGCAGGTTCAGAGTGCTCCATTGGATGGCTCGTATTGATTCCCCCGATCGTAGAGAGTTTTTCAACTGTTTAAGTGCTTTAACAGTGTCAGAATTCAGAGATCTTGAGCTCGTTGGATTCGTCTCGCCAAGACGCTCGATTTGACTATAAGAATGCCATATTTGGATATCATTTCATTATCCAAATAATGCTTTAACCCTTCCAAATGTGGTCCACGCCCCTGATTCGGACCCATTTGGGCTTGGGTTGGACCAATTTTGGTGCTATTTGGTTCGTCCCTTTGATATGTTCAATTTGATAATAAGTTTGCTTAAATTGGATTCTAGATGATCCCAAATCTGATTTTGAGAATTTCCAATTTGAATATGCCTCGAGATTCGTGCTCGATCAAGGCAATTTTTGATGACGTATCAACTCTTAACCACTCTAGGAAGATTGGATTCCGATAATCCATGAAGATTAGCTGTTGGGGCTTCAAAGGAATTAATAACTATTCTATAGATATGGCATTCATGTATAGAACCATCGACCTCCCTTCGATCTACACTGTAGTGTTTTTTGGGTCACTTACTTAGAGTCATAATTTTAGGGCGTCCATTTTAGCACCCATACCGAATGATAAGATTATTCCTTGTTAGAGTCACTGATAGTAATGCCATTAATCGTAGTTTTACGTTAGTATATTGGGATTGGAGCTTATCATGCAAATAATTCATTATTTTTCTTATCCTACCCATTACAATTTTGTTATCTAGACTTAATTTATTAATTTTTGTTCATATCTCTACAATTTTCTCTCCCATAATACTTACCTTAGATCCCCTTCCCAACCTTTTGTTATCTTCCACAATTTGAGTATCCTCTTTGCAATATATTATATTAATTAAAACTTACCACCTTATCTATCTATTCAAACTTAAATGATATCTTAATCAATTAAATCAAAGATATCTAAAGCGCCATTATATGTTCGTGTCATATAAGTTCACTTGTGAGCAAATTTAGGTTTCGTTTGTGATAGCTTTGTTATGCTTTCTAAAACAGCTTTTTAATATAAAAAATTATAATTCAAGAAATTTTTTAACTAAAAAATTGTTTCAGAAAGCAGAAAAAAACTGTTCTAAATGAAGCCTTAATGATGCCAACAGTTGCCCTATCATGACATTTGGCTCAATAAATTAAGCTTCCCCTTCCTATCTTTTGGCTTTTACTTCCTAAACCTGTTGTGTTCTTTGCGCCACTTGTTTTCTTGTTATTATGTTTAAGTTTTGCCTTTTAATCTAAACTTTATTAATAAGAAAATTTTCTTCTAATTAAGGTTTCATTTGAGAGCTTTTTTATTGTTTTTTAAAGCATCTTTCTAGTACTAAAATTTCAACAAAAGTTTTGTGCTAAAAAACTGCTTTAGAAAGCAATAAAAAAACTGTACCAAATGAAATCTAAATATTGAAATTCCACCTACATATGAACACACCATCATACTATCAAAACTTAATGCCGCCCTATTTGATATGCCATTTCAAGAATGATTTAACTAATATTTAAAGTAAATCTCATCCAATAATCTTCTTATGCATCTACAACATAGAAGTAGTTAAATTTCATTTTTGAGGTTAATGAGGATTTGTTAAATCCTAATGTGAGCATAATTTAACGAGTTTAAGGGATTTATAATATCTAATTTTAGATGTTTCAAATGAAAAAAAAAAAAGAAAAAAAAAGAAAAAAATTATTTCAAGATATCTAGAAATAAAATGCATTAGAATAGTTTTCGAAGTCATCGGATTTGTATAAAAATTAGTGCAAATCAGGATATTATATTAATCATTATTTTAAACATAAATTTAAGGACTTTGAAGCTCATTTTTTTTAAGGACTTTGAAGCTCATCTTGATGCATTTTGCATAAAAATATATTTACAGAAACTTTTTTGTTTAAATTTCAAATCTAATATTTATTTAAATCCTAAATTCTTATATAGAAAATCATATAATTTTCTATATTTAATACTCTCAAGGTTTACAAATCAGATTTTGCAGGATTTATTACTTTTATAGCCAAACAACCCCTAAGATTTACCAATAATAGACATTTAATAAACATAATTCATTGCAGCTTTGTTAGAGACATAATGCAAAACAAGTATACACATGAAAAGATTGGAGTAGCTCCAGTGGCAAAGAAAATTAAAGAGAGTCGACTTGGATAGTTTGGTCACATAAAACGCCGCCTTCTGATGACTTGATTAGCAAAATAGTTGAATTATATCCGGCCTATGTTAAGAAAGTCAGAAGGAGAGGTAGATACAAACAACTTATGGTTAGAAAGTATTAGAAATGCTATTTTTTAATTAGATTTAAAAGTGAATTTGACACTTAATAGGACATAATAAAGAAAAATGAGATAATCTAAAAAATATCAAAAAATTATTTTGCGTATTTTCAAAACTAGCTTGGCCTATTTTCAATAAATAAATAAACAAATATAAAAAGATTTATAGGTGAAAAACATAAGTATTTGGCATAGGAGTCATAACAAGCAGTGGCAGAATCAGAAATTTTATTAAGGGGAGCCTAAATTAAACACTACAGAAAAATCATCTATTACCGGTGCAATTTTCCAGCGGTTTTCTGACGGTCAATTTTGCAACGGTTGGCCATCTCATTTGGAATGTTAGAATACATTAAAATAATTTTGTTTACCAGCTTATTACTGGAGCCAAAAGGAGCTTTAAGATCAAAATTAATAATGCAAATAACATGGAGAGAGAGGAGCGAAAGAGAAAATGAAAGTTGTATTCAAGGTCACGAGAGAGGAGCAAAGGGGAAAATGAAACTGGCCATTTGGGTCAAGGGAAAGCAAGCTATTTGGGAGTGGTCTCTATTTGTGATATGATATTGTAGCTAGGGTAAAATTTTTTATAAGAAAATTATTGTGAAAACTAGTAAGAAAATTATTTGGAACAAAGCCTAAAGCATATTCTTGCGTGTTAAATCATAGAATTGTTAGGTCTTATTTTTTATAAAAATATTGCTACTTTTCTTATGTAAATTGATCGTCCACACTTAAATTTGCTTTAAAATGAGTGTAACACATAAAAAATTCAATTAAAATGTATATTACACATATCTCAAAATAAATACAATACTTTTAAGATCCATTTTGACAAAAAAATTTGACCAGTAAATTATGTAACTATTTTTTTTATGATTATATTACATACAGTGAAAATAGTGACTAAATAATTATAGTTTGTAACT